GCATCTGATTTATATTGTCCTTTCACACTTTGTATTCCACCTTGAATGAGGAGGTTATAGTTTTGGGTGAGTCTATCATATGCTTTTATTGTGTGTAAAAATGATGCTCTGCTTCTTTTTTTTTCTCAAAATATCTTTGCATGGGACTTGACTTTGAGAACTTTCTGTAGCTCACTTTTTTGTGTGTGAAATTTTTTCTGAATCTTTAAAAGGGGGCAGTGTTTAAGATAACTTGTCTAACTTTATAAACTCTCTCATTTAATGTTTTCTGCTAATGCTCAATAATACAGTAGCTTGTTTTTTTGCAAACCTTTGTTTCTATCCTGCTCTTGATCCTATATGGACTTTTTAGTTCTTTCCCTATTCTCGGTATTTCCCTATTCAAAGTTTATTCCACTCCCATCAGTTTCTCTTTAGTAGGGGGATCAGTCCTAGGAGGGAGGCCTGGGTTGGCACATTTCAACAATTCTTAGGTGCCTTTGGCTCCTTCATCTTTTGATGGTGAATCTCTTTCACTCATGGCTGTTATGTTTGGCAAAAACCCCTCCCAGTTTCAGCTACTGTTTGAAAATTGTCCCTCCCTGCTTGTGTCCAAATACCTGTTGGCTGTTTTCAAATGTTTCTCTTCTCGGGAAAGGTAGAGAGTTCCCCTCTGCCTTTCTTCCTACACAAATGCTGAAGCCATGAAGTCTTGTTTCAATTAAAGGTTTGTTTTCACTTGCTGGTGCTTTGGGGGAACCTCAGCATTTTGATTGAAAGCGTTGTGCATAGGATTTTTAATTTGCAATCTGGTTGTTCTGTCTGGTTTTAAATGAGGATTCATGGACATCCCAAAACTATAGCTGTAACTATGTGACCACCTGCCTAGAATCATGAGTCTTCATTTTTTTCAAGGGAAAAGAATTTATTAATGGGAATTTAATTGTTTTTTTCTTGAGCATAATAATGGAAAATGGTTCAACTTTAAATTGTGAGCATTTTACCATTGCTGGACTTGTAGTATTTGGATGATTCGGGCTATTCTTCATAAGCAAGAATGGAAAGAAGAACAGGGATAATTTAAGATGAAAAATAAAATAAGCACCATATATCATTGGCTTGCATTGCTTTCCAAACCATTTCAGAAGTTTCTGAGAATGACAGCTAAACTTCTATGCCTTGCCTATTTTATTAGTTTTAGAAAGCTACATAGAACCAAAAATGTGGTAAAGCAGCCTGATGCTTCCCTAGGAGGAAACCAGTGGCTACTATGGACCAAAGGCTCATCGTAGTGAGCCTTTTAACATTAGTCTTACTGTTACACAGAGTAATGGCAGCTTAACTGTTTCTATTTATGCTTTAGACTTAATCCTGGGAGCCTGTAACATGCATGGAACTCTAATTAGAGACCTTCCATACATAGAGGGCTATCTTTTAGTTAATTGCACAAACATCTGGCCAAAGCTTTCAAAATTCCATTTATATTTACTGCATTAGTCAGAGTTCTAATACAAACTTAAGATTCTCTTTCTCCAGAGTAATTCTCAGGATCAAAATCTGTATTAGTCAAGCTTCTCTTGACAATTCAGCATTAACATGGGTATGGTTGTGTGTGTGTGTGTGTGTGTGTGTGTAGCAGTCCCCCTTTTTCTACAAAGGGACATGTTCTTAGACCCCCTAGTGGATGCCTGAAAAACTGAATAGCACCAAACCCTGCACAGATTATATAAGAATTTCTACAAGATTGGTTGTTGCCACAGATCTCAGTAGTCTCCGCATTTAATTTTTTTCCCTTTCCCTATGAAGTTGAGTACTTTCACCTTTCCACCTCACAGAAATGCTTTTATGGTTTCTCCTTGGTTTATTCCAATTGCAAGCATCACTACTCCTGCACTTTGGAACCATTATGAAGTAAAATAAGGGTGCCTTGATTCCAAGCACTGCAATACCACAACAGTCAATTTGATAACTGACAGGGATACTCAATGACTCACAGGTGGGTAGTGCCTGCAGTATGGGGCCACTGGACAAAGGGGTGATTTACATCTCAGCAGGATGGAGTGGGATGGCATGAGCTTTCATCACATTATTCAGAACAACATACAATTAAAAACTTATGGATTGTTTGTTTTCTGGGATTTTCCATTTGAAATTTTTGAACCATGGTTGACCCCAGGTAACTGAAACCACAGAAAACAAAACTGTAGATAGAGGGGGACTACTATATATCTATTATCAATCTATAACATCTCCCAATTTTTATACATGTGTCTTATTGGTTCTATACTCATATACAAGGAAATTTTTTATAAGGAATTGAGTCAGATAGATTATGGAGGCTGGCGAGTTGAAATCTTCAGTGTGGGCCTGTAGGCTGGAGACCCAGGAGAGCTAGTGGTGCAGTTCCCCCCTTAAAATTGGCAGCCTGGAGAGCCTGGTGAGCCGATAGAGCAGTCTTGTCTAAGAGCTCAGCAGGCAGCGACTGATGACAGCCCACTGCTCAGATAGAGCCTGGAGATAGAGCCTGAAGATAGTTCCCTCTTTGTCAGGGAGGCCCATCACTTTGTTGTTTTCAGGCCTTCAACTGCCTGAACCAGACACACCCACCTCTGGAGGCCACTCTACTCCCTTAAAATTCACTATTCACCAGTTTTAATGTCAATCTCATCAAAAGAAAGCTACGTTGACACAGTTAATCGTCACATTTGTCTTGGGTTATATTAAACTTTTAGACTAGGAATCCTCCCCAGTACCTAACTAGGGAATTACTACAAAACAAAACAAAAACTTCATGTTCTCTGGGGAAGAGTGATTTGTCTTCCATTTACAACTGAATCACTTCTGCGGAGATTCAGGAAAAAGTGAGGCAGGAGTGGTTCTCAAATTGCTACCATCTCCATAACTTCTTCTTTTTTTTTGTTTGTTTGTTTGTTTTTGGAGGCAGAGTTTCACTCTATTACCCTGGCTAGAGTGCTGTGCCATCATAGCTCACAACAACCTGAAACTCCTGGGCTCAAGAAATCCTCCTGCCTCAGCCTCCTGAGTAGCTGGGCATAGAGGCACTGCCACAATGCCCAGCTAGCTTTTGTATTTTTAGTAGAGATGGGGTCTCGCTTTTGCTCAGGCTCGTCTCAAAGTCCTGAGCTCAAGCAATCTTCTTCCCAAAGTGCTAAGATTACAGGTGTAATTTCTCTTTAACTGATCATAATTATATTTACTTGGGGTTAGCGTACAGAAATTTTGTGAGACAATATTTTGTGGTTACAAGTTTGATATGTCAGATTTGTGTTTCTAGGAGAATAAATTCAAATTAATATGCAATAGTGTTACATCTTAAATACATTCTGATCTCATTTTCCACTTTTGATGAAAGAGCTATACATTCATGTATTTCCCCCCTAAAGTTGCATAATTTCCTCATTTTTGTATATATGTATTGATTCTGTGAAAAGTTAAATCTCATCTTTTCAAAACTACAAAATAATATAAATCATATTTTTCTTCCTTAATTCTTATGCTGAATTGACTTGTAATGAAAAGATGCATCGCTTTGAGAGCAAGAAGAAAGGTTTAATTCAAATAATAGGCAGGATTGTATACCAAGTGAAACATTTATTAAATTCTTTTTTTCTGAGACCAGAGTCTCACTAAGTCACCCTTGGTAGAGTGCCATAGCATCACAGCTCACAGCAACCTCAGACTCTGGGGTTTAAGTGAGTCTCTTGCCTCAGCCTCCCAAGTAGCTAGGACTACAGGCACCCACCACAATACCCGGCTAGTTTTTTGTTGCAGTTGTCATTGTTGTTTAGTAGGCCTGGACTAGGTTCGAACCCACCAGCCCAAGTGTATGTGGCTAGTGCCCTAACCACTGAGCTATGGGCATTGAGCCCATTTATTAAATTCTAATCATTCGTATCCCAATAGCTTCCACTTACATCTTGCAGTATGGATGCATATTTTGCATGTGTTGATGAAACAGGGGGCTTAGGTAGTAGCGGCTTGAGGTTCGGTTTGCTTGCTCCCTATTTAAGTCTTTGCTACAAGTCCATCTAATATTACCCTACTCTCACCAATGTAATGGCACCTCATTCGGACTTGACAAGAAGAAGGCAGACTATACCCATGTCTTTAGCTTTGCTGTGGAGGGTCCTCAGATGCCTCAGTCATTTGATTTTAAAGGAAGAATCCCCCAGGGGGTGCAGTATTTCTGGAAGTATTGCAATACCAGGTCAATGTGTGGAGTGGATGGAACAAGATCCTACTCCATCCCCTACTTCCCCAAATCCATTTAATATCTTGTCCTCAGATAAAGGACATATCAGACATTAAAATGATAAGAACAGATACTATATATGAGCTTAGCTGAAAGGCTGGCAAGTGTCCACTGGCACTGATAATAGCATGCATTACTAACCGGCTGAGCAAACCAGAACATATTTGATGCCAAACTAAGTATTACAGTTCGATTGCCGATGTGTGTGGAACCCTTGTCTAATTAATAAAATAATTTTTAGGAAACTAATAAGTAGAATAACCAAAAAAGAAAAACTCAGCTTATGTGATATAAATCCAAGAAAAAATATCATCTACTGAAATACAGAAAATTGTTTTTATTTGCAGGCCATTAAAATTTAAAATTTCTGCTCCATTAATTTGCAATGTACTCACTAACAAACTCCTTTTTTCAATATTTGCCAATTTATCTCTTATATATCTGTTGGAAAAGAATATATATATGTTTAGTGTGCTGGGTCAAATTGAACTCTTGAGATTAATGAAGTTAGATATAATGAATGTACGTGAAATAATCTAATTATGAGAAAGCACATTTGGGTGATTCCAGGAAGTCTACTATTTATTTTCCTTAATTAATTTAATGTCAAGAGTGCTTCTTACAAAATTTATGGGACACTGTGAACTTAATAGCTTTTCCAAGAGTTCAAAAATATGTAGCAAGTGTACCTCCCATGAAAAATTGAAATTGTTTTCCCCATTTTGGTTTGCAGCAGAGATATTTATCAGGTTCTATTTTATAGTTCTTCAGCATATTTTATTTCATGGGTACCCTGTATGGATAGTTATGAGCTACTTCTTCCTATTTTACAGTAATTTTTAAGTGATTTATTTATAAAATACACATTTTTGTTTAATTCAAAATAATAAGTGAAAGAATATTGCTGTTCTTTTTATCAAGTCTAAATTTTGGCAGGATGATTTCATAAGGACACAAATATTTCATCGTCAGAGTGATGCTAGAAATTACTGAAGGATCAACAGTTGACTCCACTGTGGTTTGGGTTTTTTAGATCTAAAAATGTCGCAATGAAACGTAACCAAAGGTAATGTTTAAATATTAGTGTTTTATTAAAGTCATCCAAGAAACTTTGCTCACCCTTTAGGGATAACTGTCTTTAAATCTAGGTTTTATGATTAACACTGGAAGCAATTAGAAACTTAAAAGTTGGGTCAAAGAAAGGTGTTATACCTATACCCTAATTAAAAAAGAATTCACATATTTCTTGACAAATTATGGAGAACACTTTTATGATTTAAAACCAGTTCTATATCTTTGGCTTGAACCATCACCTTCAGTTAACCAATACTGACTAATTTGCAAAGGATTTGGATTTTGTCAGACCAAAACCCCTCAACTATTTTCCTTATCAGTCAAGTTTTAAACTTCGTTCTGAAGACTTTTAGTTATATTTTATTTAATTCATTGGCTTCTTGTATCAGCTAGCTATTGCTGAGTAACAAATTACCCTAAAATGTAGCGTCTGAGAACAACAATTGTGTATTACTTCTGACGAGATTACAGGTCAGATGGTATCACAAATTTACAGGGTTTGCTGATCTTGGCTGAGCTTGGCTGGCCAATACTATACTCATTACCACTAAATAACAAGCAAACTCAGATTTTCTCCTCTCTCTGGAAGTTTATCTGAGACACATTCATGCACACATCTGGAAGTCAGCTGGATGTTAGCTGATATAGAGTGGGATCAGGTGGGAAAATTTTCTGTGTCATATGTTCTCTCATTCTTTAATAGACTATCTATGTCAGAGTTCCTCAAAATTCTTTCCTAGATTCATTGATTCCAAGAGGAGTCACAGGTCTCAGCATACAGTCATACTCATGGTTATAAATTACTATAGGAAAAAGATAACAATGAAAAATTGGCAAAAGCAGAAGACATATAAAACAATGTCCTGAGAAAACCAGGCACAAGTTTCCAAAAATCCTCTCTCAGTGGAATCATATGGGATGTGCCAAATTCTCCTAGCAATGAATTGTGACAACACGTCTGAAATTATCTCCCAAGGAAGATCATTAGTGCCCAGAGATTATATTAGGGGCTGGTTACATAAGCATCCTCTGCTTGGATCATACCAAAATTCTAGATTCTCAGAATGAAAGCAAGTGTTCAACAACAACCATATTATTGGTACAAACAGGTTAGGCACAGTGAGCTACTCTTATTAATTAGAGTGGTGGGAACATTCCCCAAATCCAAGTTTCTAAGGGCCTGTCAAGTAGAAATTTCCAAGGATAGCAGTCACAGGCTTGCTATGTGAACACATTTCTGGTTATTAGTCCAGAGTTGTTCTCTGGCTAAGGCAAAGTTCCAAGTTGGCAAGTGGAAGCTCAAAAAGCCTCTTGAGGCCTATGCTAGGAATTATCGTACATTCTCTTTTGGCATAACCTGTTGACCAAAGTAAGTCCCAGGATTCTAGAGGAGAGGAAATAGACTCTATCTCTTTATTGGAGAGATTGAAAGACCACATCATAAAGAGCATAGATAGTCATCAATGGGGACCATGGATGCAATTAATTTTCCACACTTCCCCAACTTCCATTCTTTGCCTTAGAGAGTTTAGAGAAGCTTATGACTTGTGCAGTTCCACCCATGCATTCCCATTCCATAATAAACTTCAACCGAAACTCTTTTCCAACCACCTCTGGATGAGATTCCTGACATTTTCCAGAAGCTTATTCTCAACCTCACTATAGTGTCTCTCACAAAGCTGAATGCATTGGGCCAATTGTTTGGATCCTATGATTTCTTTCTTCATGCTAAATGTGTAGATTTGCAATAAGACAGCTGCAACCTCTCAGGGATTTAGGACGTTATGCCTTAGGCAATCCAGAATGGGTTCTCCATCACCTCCAGTTCCAGAGACTCAAAGTGTCTCTATCCTATTGATGAACTGCAGTCAGTGTTACGTCCAAGAGGTTTGAAACTCAACTGCACTCAGTCCTTTAAATTATAGCCAAATTCGGGACCTATCGCATCTCTGAGCGTCTAGGTCTAACTTTCCAAGAGTTCATCCAGAGCTTCTTGGGCGGCTAGTGGAGGCTACTTCAGGGAAATTTCAGGACTGTCCAATACAGATCCCAAATTCTGGGTGTGGGGCAGACAAATTACATGGAAATAAGACATACTTGATGCCTAACACTCATTCCCTGTGGCATTTTCAGGCTTTTAAAGATCAAACCAAAGCATGTCACTAGTAGCAGAACATTATGGCTTTTATTGGTAAAATGGCACTGCTGTAGCAATTTCTTTTTAGTAGAATACAGTCTTAATACCCAAAATAGCAGATTTTAGCATGGACTTTAAAGGAACATTCCTCTTAGGACACTTTCCTGGACAAAATAATTCCTCCCCACGACATTTCTTTGGCAGGACAAGCTGACCAACTTTGTCTCAGCCCAGACATGACAGCTTCTCTTTCTCATGAGCTAATGAACTGCTCTCTCTGATTACCTTCTTCCTGTATTCATTTGACCTGATTTTTAAGGCTAATTCAACAATTACATCCTTGATATAATGATTCTTGATTAAAGCATCATTACTTTCAACGAAGAAGTGTGGATAGTATTTTTAAAGATTGAAATTTGGGGATGAATTTTTGATCAAAAGCTTTCATATTCTCTTAACAAACACCATAGGTGGTATAATTTAATATTCACAGTAAAGACCAACAATGGAAATGATGTTTATATTTAATCAAAACTAGTTTATTTTCAGTGAAGACCTTGACAACATTCTTTGCTGACACTGCCCTAAAAGACAATATTGTTCTGACTATGTTTGAAGTATTTTAAAATACATGTCTAACTTCCATACTTATGGGAAATGCACTCCATAGAGGACGTTATACATCCTATCTCGTATATCAGTCATACTTCAAACAATCTTGTTCTGGGATACCACATTGCAGATTAAAAGCTAAAACTTAACAGTGGCTTAGAATTTTAATCAAGAACATACTGATATTGAGTAGTAGGGTTATCGCTGGAATTCAGTTTTGTCTGCCTTAGCAGACCAAGCCTGGTTTAAAATAGTCAATATTATTGGAAGTATTTCAAGTACCACACAGGCATGTGCATACACACACATATATATTTACGTTATACTTAGACACTTAAAGGACATTACCCCCAAATGACTTTCAGATTCTCACAACATTGTTTAATACTTTGATAATGCGCCATAGTTAGAAAGAAGCCCCTTAAACATGTTATACTGACTATATTTTGAATGCTGCCTCAGATTCTAAAGACTTAGAAGATTGTTGCTAGGATGTTACTTCTTTTTCCAAAATGATGATTCTTGGCAGGCAGAGTGTGATTTTATTCATGGGAACATTGTCTTCGGGAATTTTCTCTGTAGGAAAATTTTGAAGAGAATTTATAGAAAACGCTGCTCAGAAAACTTCCTTCTCAAGGCAGTCTGTAAGAAGACTGGCCCTGACAGAGAAAATGCCTAAGAAAAGATTCCAAAATGAATCATGGAGACTTTGCTAAAAAAGATTTTAACAAATATTAAGAACGTGTACCCTCCCTTGGAGATGAATTTAACATTATTCAATGGAATTTTGTTAAAAGCACAATAAAGATAAGCTATTGTGTTTTCTTTCTTTCTTTGCTTATTTCTGTCTTACTTTAGAAGTTGAGTAGTGAGAAGCCTGAATAGAGGGTAAATACATTTTTATTTAGATGAAAGAATGATAAGTGGATTAACCATAATATAAGCCCCTACCCATCAAACACTGGCGCTACAAAGATGTTTGAGAAAGTAAAATTGTCTTCTCATCCCCTCAGCAAAGTAATGAGCACCTGAAACCTGTGTTTGCTTGTTTAGAAAATCTTCCTTCTAGTTCAGGTCCCCAGGAGAAATGGAAGTGGTAATCCTGAACAACACACTTTCATTTTGGGAGATAAATAAATGTCCCCCCCTACAGGTTCATCTAGGTCCAAGAGTGCTGTTACAGGAAGGTCCTTGATTGTACAAGGCAGGGCATGTGTTGAGGCATTGGTGGGGCCCATGGAACCAGGAGTGTACGATAATCACAGAGAGAAAAAGAATGTCCTCT